CTCTGCTGGCCAGGTTTTCTGGGAGTTGAAGGCCAAGAACATCTGGAGGGCCACAGTTCGACACCATTGCTGTAAAGCATACTTCCAGAGTTGCAAGCTGGTCAGCTGAAGTCATGTATTGATTTGACGTTATCCTAGTTAGGCTCTATGGAGACAGGGAGTGGCTAGCTCAATGCAGAATATAATTGTCCTTCCTTTGGGTATTTATTTCACCTTGCTAATTCTTTATACATGGGGATTGATATTTATGAGAGGGCTACTCATAAATCTGCTGATTGTTGCTCTAATACTAATCAGGAACTTAAATGCCTGTAATTTTTTTTTCTAATAGTAATGGTGCAACTCAGTTCACCATCTATTATTATACAGATACTTGTCTCCCAGTTCCCCTGAATGTAGGAGAGGGAAGTGATTTGTATTAGACAAATAGCAGGGCAGCTCCAACACAATTCTCCTGTCTAATGACTCCACATTACCTAAGAAAACTACAGATGAGCCATGTGGATTACCCATATCAGGGTGTGGGTTTTTTTTTGCCTTTTTAAAAGCATCTAAGTAAAACACCTAGTAGCATGGGAAGGCTAAGTATCCTAATTCCTTCTCTTTTTTTCATTTTTGTGCTCCCAACCTTTATAGAACAAATCCTGAATATATGTTGGAATATTACCGTATTTTTCGCTCCATAAGACGCACAGACTTTCTACCCCCCTGTTTTGTGGGGGGAAAGTGCGTCTTATGGTGCGAAAAATACAGTACCTACATTTGGCCCACATGTTGAATAGGAGAAGTAGCATTTCCTGTTGGAGCACATGGCATAGCTGTGGAAGAAGTGTAGAGATATCAGAACAACAGTGAAACAATATTGGTGAATTTTGCAAGAAGGAGGGCCTGTGATTCAGGGTCAAAGTGAGGATGTCTGAAGTAAAACAAAATGTCCAAGATAAGCTGTATTAGTCTGCAGTCTGTTGCAGCAACGGTAACAAGTCTTGTGACACCATAAATACAAACAAGTTTTGTTTGGCACAAACGTTTGTGGAATGCAGCCTGCTTCTTCAGGTACATCTGAAGTCCATAAAATGTTACCCTCTGAAGTGAAATAAGTGTCTTTGTTAGTTTTGCAGCATGTGACAAAAAAGGAGAATTTTCAATAGCAATTTTTAAAGGATGTATTGTAAGCAATGTGGTTCTATAAAAATCTACAATTTTTCTGTGGATTTGGATTTGCCTGACAGTTTGTTTTTGTTGTGTCATCATTTCCAGCTGTGGGTAATCCTATGATCAATGACCTTCAAAAGGTCCATCATTAGCAGCCCTGCTCAGGTTTTGCCCAACTAAAAGTTTTGGCAGCATTTCTTAACATGTTCCCAGAGGATTAATACTTATCAATTATGTACTCAGTCTAAGTGAATGCATTTTGTGGTGTTATGAAGAATAATAAATTGCATTACATTGTAAACATGTTAATTCAGCATTTTACTGAGCAAGATTTCATTCAGGCTTATACTGTTCTCAGTGAATTCTCATTACATTTGCAAAAGGCACCAAAATGTGTTTGCTTTAAGTTATTTGCTGTGAAGAAACAATGCATTATATTTAATTAACAGATTTTATTTGCAGAACTTATTAGAAAAAATTCTATTATAAACAGTACATATATAGACTAATTGTGTCTGATTTGTATAACACTGATTTGTGCAGTCTAACTTCTTCTGCATGTTCTTTCTCCATTCAGTTGCATTCAGTGTATATTAATGCAAGTGTACTTTCAAATCATGAACCATATTTCACTGAATTAAATCTTACACTCTCTGATCATGGCACAATATTTTCTGTTCTATAGAATTATTACTACTCTCTACAGTTTGAGAATAATCTTATTTTCTGCCCAGCCTCAATCACTCAGATATTATGAAAAAAGAGGTGATACCAGCAACCTGAATAAGCTACACAAATGAACAAAATATCTATTATTGCTTTTATTTTACAGAAGGTCTTCTACAATTTTACTTTTTTATGTAACACTTAGATTTTTCTATTCATGGGGAGTAGCAGTGAGCTTTAAAAGGCACTGAAGATTTGTTTTTCAACCTTAAGTAATATTATGCAGGAGTGACTCTGGCTTCAAAGATTTCTTGAGACTGCTCCCTATTCAACAGATGTAAAAATCAAAAGTTTTATTACAACAGCAATTTGAGTGCATTGAATGTTTTAAGCCGAGTGTACGACTTACACAAAAAATCTCAAAAAAACTATTTAGTCTATACAAAGCAAAGCAGTATTCTAACATAATAAGATCTTAAGATTGGGTTGCAGGTAAAGGTGGGGGTATTCGTGTTTGTATACGAATACCCCTGCACATCTGGACATAATGAGGGTCCAACCCCCTGGGGCCGGACCGTCCACTCACCTTCCACTGTTGCCGCGAGCGCCGTGCTCCCTTCCTATTGCTCTGGAGGTCTGGAAACCACTCCTGGCAGGTGGTAGGAGGACAAGCCTTGCTGCAAGGTTGAAGAGCGGATCGCAGATCACAAGCTCTGGAGCAATAGGAAGGGAGCGAGGAGCCCGTGGCAGCAGAGGAAGGTGAGTGGAGAAGGGGGTGGACTCTTGTTACGTCCACTTATGCAGGGATATTCGTATTTGTACACGAATACCCCCATCTCCAGTTACAGGTTTTTTTCTTCACTGATGCCCATTGTGTGTTTTTTTCACAGGCATACAGGAGTTTCCAGAAAATATAAAAAACTGTAAAGTTTTGGCAGTTGTTGAGGCCAGTGTAAACCCTATTTCGAAGTAAGTTACTTTGTTGTCATAAGCTACATTTTTTCTGCTCTTGTACAGTGAATACTAAATATTAGTTGTGCATTCTAATGGCGTATGCAGTCTCATGTTTACTAATTTTAAAAATGTTTTTAAAATTTTTCAGGCTTCCAGATGGATTTTCGCAGTTGTTAAACCTAACACAGCTATACCTGAATGATGCTTTTCTTGAGTTCTTACCAGCTAATTTTGGCAGGTAAGTTTGTAAATAATTTTGAAAAATATTTTCATTCTGTTTTTTAAAACCATGTAGAACCTAGTTTTTCATGTTGATCAGCAGAAGGTACTGTGTGTATTATGGAAGAAGATGGAAAGCTAACCCCACTGAACTAAATATTTAACTGCCAAAAAGGGGCTATATTAACTTAAATAGATATAATGAACTGGGATAATTCAATTTTAAACAATTTGAGAGAATGGAATTAATTTTGATATAAATGGAAGTATGAAGAATACCAGATACACATTTTATCCTATGAATTGTATTTATACGTTTACATTTACAAATTGCTGTTTCAAGAAGACTGGAGCTATAGTTAGCACAGCCAGTGGTCAGGGAAGATGGGACTTGCAATTTAATACCATCTGGAGTGCCACACGTTGGCCACACTTGGTTGCATGACAATGTAGTGTGTTACTTTGGGAAAAGTGGCAAGTATCAAAAAAGTTTCCCTGTCATTACTGCTCTCTAGGTCTTCATTCCATTCTAGTTCTGTTTCAGAGATTCAAAGTGCGAAATGGGAGTGTAGTAGTAGTGGGAACGAGCCCCTTTTCTGCCCTCCTAGCCACCTATCCAGCTGCAGTATCACTTGGGGTCATCCAGGCTCTTAAATACCTTGAGTTTAAAAGAAGACATATCATATTAACTTTATTGAGGTGCTTTCATTAGACCCTTTGCTATCTTAGAGTACACCCCTAAGTGACAATGTCCAAATTGGGCCCAAGTAGCCGCTTTCCCTCCCTGTTGTCATGAGACCTGTTAGTGGCACGTCTCAGGTGTGAAGGGGGAGCTGGTGTTTCTGGTCACTGGAAGTTCAATATGGCACCTCATGGTAATGAACTATCTGAAGATCTGAAAAAACGAATTGTTGCTCGACATAAAGATGGCCTAGGCTATAAGCAGCTTGCCCAAACCCTGAAACTCAGCTGCAGCATGGTGGCCAAGACCATACAGTGGTTTAACAGGTCATGTTCCACACAGAACAGGCATCACCATGGTCGACCAAAGATGTTGCGTGCCCATGCTCGGTGTCATATCCAGAGGTTGGCTTTGGGAAATAGACATATGAGTGCTGCCAGCATTGCTGCAAAGGTTGAAGGGGTGGGGTGGGGGTCAGCCTGTCAGTGCTCAGACCATATGCTGCACACTGCATCAAATTGGTCTTCAGGGCTGTCGTCCCAGAAGGAAGCTTCTTCTAAAGATGATGTACAAGAAAGCCGGCATACAGTTTGCTGCAGACAAGCAGACTAAAGGCATGGATTTCTGGAACCATGTCCTGTGGTCTGGTGAGACTGATAAACTTACTTGGTTCAAATGGTGTCAAGCGTGTGTGGTGGCAACCAGGTGAGGAGTACAAAGACAAATGTGTTGTGCCTACAGTCAAGCATGGTGGTAGAAGTGTCATGGTCTGGGGCTGCATGAGTGCTGCCGGCACTGGGGAGCTACAGTTCATTGAAGGAACCATGAATACCAACATATACTGCGACATACTGAAGCAGAGCATGATCCCCTGACATAAAGGTGGCCTAGGCTATAAGCAGCTTGCCCAAACCCTGAAACTCAGCTGCAGCATGGTGGCCAAGACCATACAGTGGTTTAACAGGTCAGGTTCCACGCAGAACAGGCATCACCATGGTCGACCAAAGATGTTGCGTGCCCATGCTCGGTGTCATATCCAGAGGTTGGCTTTGGGAAATAGACATATGAGTGCTGCCAGCATTGCTGCAAAGGTTGAAGGGGTGGGGTGGGGGTCAGCCTGTCAGTGCTCAGACCATATGCTGCACACTGCATCAAATTGGTCTTCAGGGCTGTCGTCCCCGAAGGAAGCTTCTTCTAAAGATGATGTACAAGAAAGCCGGCATACAGTTTGCTGCAGACAAGCAGACTAAAGGCATGGATTTCTGGAACCATGTCCTGTGGTCTGGTGAGACTGATAAACTTACTTGGTTCAAATGGTGTCAAGCGTGTGTGGTGGCAACCAGGTGAGGAGTACAAAGACAAATGTGTTGTGCCTACAGTCAAGCATGGTGGTAGAAGTGTCATGGTCTGGGGCTGCATGAGTGCTGCCGGCACTGGGGAGCTACAGTTCATTGAAGGAACCATGAATACCAACATATACTGCGACATACTGAAGCAGAGCATGATCCCCTCCCTTCGGAGACTGGGCCGCAGGGCAGTATTCCAACATGATAACGACCCCAAACACACCTCCAAAATGACCACTGCCTTGCTAAAGAAGGTGAGGGTAAAGGTGATGGACTGGCCAAGCATGTCTCCAGACCTAAACCCACTTTTGTTGCCAGCGGTTTAGACATCAATGGCTGTGTGTTGCATTATTTTGAGGGGACAAGCACATTTACATTGTTATATAAGCTGTATACTCACTGCTTTACATTGTAGCCAATGTCATTTCTTCAGTGCTGTCACATGAAAAGATATACTAAAGTATTTATGAAATGTGAGGGGGTGTGCTCACTTCTGTGATGCACTGTCTACATTGTTTTGCTTCAGGAGCTTTATATCCAAATAAAGTACTTGTTTGGAATTGGTTAAGTATCAGTACTTGAGTTGTATCTAGGTCATGTTTACAGAAAAAGAAATCTAAATTAAGAAAACTGACAGAAGAAAAACAACGATATTAGTGGATGATAAGAGACACGCTTAACTTAAATGAGATTAGAGGAGTTCCGCATAAATGATGCTGTTGCTTTAATTTATATGATGTACAGCCCTGCCCTCATTAGCTCTTAGGAGTGTGGAACTGAATTCCCTATTAAACAAGCAGACTTTGGCTCCTGTGAGAGTTTGCCTTCTCCCTCCTTATTGTTTAGCACCCAGTATATGTCCCAGATATGCCTTCTGAATCTGTGGCGCAGCTTTGGGACATACAGTGGTGCCTCGCATTATGATATTAATTCGTTCCAGCGAAATCACTGTAGAACGAAAACATCGTAAAGCAAAATTTAAAAGCCCATAGAAATGCATAAAAACCTGTTTAATGCGTTCCGATGGGCTTAAAACTCACTGTCCAGCGAAGATCCTCCATAGGGCGGCCATTTTCGCTGCCTATTTTGCAAGGAATCAGTCCCTAAACACAGTGGGGAGCCATTTTATTTACCCAGCAGCCATTTTGAAACCACCGATCAGCTGTTGGAAAATCATCGTTTTGCGAAGAATCGGTTCCCGAAGCAGGGAACCGATCATCGCAAGCGAAATTCCCCCATAGGAAACATCGTTTTACGATCGCAAAAGCGATTGCTAAAAGTTCATTGTAATGCAATTTCATTCTTAAACGAAGCAATCGTAATGCGAGGCACCACTGTACATAGTTGGAGAGGGGATGGCAGGAGAGAAGTAAAATTCTGTTCTACTTGAAAATTCATCTTTAATAATTAAAACGGTCATGGTAAACATGTTGACTGTTTATACACCCTGAATTTGAAGGTTAAAGCCAACACCCTGAACTTGAAGGTTTTACAACCAAACTTATTTTGTTTCAGATATGCATATTTAACACTTTCACTGATTTATTTTTCTGCTTAATTTACAGATTAACTAAACTCCAGATTTTGGAGCTTCGAGAAAATCAGTTAAAAATGTTGCCAAAGTATGTATTCAGTAATATTTGAGTTTATTTTGGTATGAATGAGTTGACTAAGTCTTACATAGTTCTACTTCTATAGAAATCAGTACCTTTAAAAAAGATTGTTCATGTGGCAAGTATTACAAATTATCCTTTTTTCAGTCACCCCTAAATTAGGTTAAAAGTGTGACCTTTATCCTATATTTTGTTTCATTTCATTTCAGTCCTACTGTTCTGAAGAAAATTGACATCCAGGGTGACCTACAATATAATTAAAAATTAAATGCACATTAAAAAGTTATCAACTTAAAACATAATTAAACTAGTCACCACAGTAAAAGACAATTGAATTATAAACGATTTTGAAAGTACATCAAGTAAACTATTAAGGATGTGTACCGTGAAAATTTTGATATCTCATTTTTTTTTGTTTTTCAAGGTAGCTCTTTCATTTTCATTCATTCTTTATTGTTTAACACAAAAGGGACAGCTTCTTTCATTTCAGATTTTAAAGGCTCATTAGAACCTTCACTTTACTTTATTTGGACTTATGCCCCGCCCCTCTAGACAAAGTCTACTCGGGGCGGTTTACATAAGTGGTAAAATTCAATAAAATAACATAACATACATAATGATAAAACCCACTAACTAATGCATACATACATTATCAAGACAGGATAATTGAGAAACAAAGATCAATTAATTGACTGGAGGGAAGGCCTGCCTAAAGAGCCAAGTTTTAAAATGGCTTTTAAAAACACCCAGCGAGGGAGCCAGGCGGATTTCCATTGGGAGAGTGTTTCGCGGCCGAGGGGCTACTGCTGAGAAGGCCCGGTTTCTTGTTCTTTCCTTCCGGACCTCTCTCGGCATAAGGCCCCTCAGCAGTCCCTGCTGGCTTTGTCGATTGATTATACAACTCTATAAAAGCAAAGAGGCAAATCAAAAGAGTTCTATTTCAGAAATGGGCAACAGTATGGTCAAGAAACATACTAAAATATATGAGAATAAATGCTCAGTGAATTAACCAAGTAACCAAAATAAAACAGAAAAGGCACTCACGCATACATAGTGAAAAAAATAAAAAACTAAAGCTACACACACAGCCTGCTCTGCCAAATATGAAGAAAAGCACAGCCTGCTCTCCTATGGAGGAGTAAAATCAATTTAACACAGGGGAAAAAACATTCAACCCCCCCATCCCTGAATATACAACATATGATGCCTTCTCTTCTTTTCTTTGAGTCCAGCCAGTTCAGGTAGCAGTAAAAAAGATCCAAAAACCCCCAGAGATTTGGGAAATCTCCAAAGAAGTGTGTGTGTGTGAGTTTCCAAAAAATAATCCCAAGAAGCCAAACTGGAATAGATGGGTTGCCTAGCAGCAGCATAAGTAATCCAAAGAAATGCAATTGAGTAAAGAAAAAAATTTGCACTCCTTACTGGGACCCAGGCTTTTCTTCAGAGTCTAAATTCCCATTCTGGTTGGCTGATGACATTCCTTGGTGGTCACACAATCATGTCTGTAGCCCTTGCAATGCAATTGGGTGAAAAAATTATTTGATGACTTGACATATAAAGAGTGAAAGAAAGATTACACGAAAATAGGAACATGAACCTTTTCTCTGCCCTCTTTTATTAATACTTACTATGTTAAAGTAAGTGTCAAGTAGAGCAGGCCCATTTGAATCAACAGAACCTATGGAGGAGTGATTCAGTAGGCCTACTCCAGCTTAATTTACTATGCTAAGCATCAGGATTTCAGCCAATGTGTGTTTTTTCTTGGTTAATTCATATGTTATAATATCCTTTAGGGATGTAAGTACAAGTATGTATAATGCATTTTTTTTCAATTTAACACATATAGCTGCTGTGTTGAATTGATTAGAGATAGCCCATGACATAAATATTGAAGGAATATGAGTTAGGTAGTACTTTGTGTTCAGAAAATGCACTTTAAAACAATCCAAAAGACCAAAGACAAAACAGACAAAGTTAATTTATAAATTACTATTTATTTATTATTTAATTATGAGACATTAGAAGATCTGCTGTGCACTTAGATGATTTCCATAGTTAAGAAATTACTTTGTCTGATTAGAGGCTACTTATAATCTGTTCTTCTGTGTTGTGGATCTCTGTATATGAAAATGTAGCATAAGATGCAGTAATGCAGCTATGTCTAAGAGGTCACACAGAACTGTCAAGTCAGAGATAGACCTGTAGGGGAAAATCAAATCAAATGAATTAAAAGCCACCACTATTCCTATTAAATATCTTGCCAGATATACTAGTCTCTGAAAAAATCATATTTAACTATTCATATTATAAGAGCAGCAGGAATAGTTTTTGAGAAACACTGTGAGGAACCTAGAACACCGCAAATAGATGAAGTGATAGATAAAATCCTGGAAACGCAGAAATGAAGATACTATCAGATTGGCTAGATGTAAAAAAGAAAAAAGACCATCAGAAAATTTGGTCATAATTATATACATAGTTACAAGGTAGATAGAATAGTGGACTGATACATAGTTATCTCTATGGCTGCAGAAGAGACAGAATAAATGATGTATAAAGACTATCAGATACATAATAAATAATTACAATAACAATATATCTGTCTAAATTTGATTTTTCTCTCTTGCACACTGTTTATATTTCTTTATGATATGTGGAACTATTACTAGAAGAGAACGTATAGAATTACTATGAAAAAGTACCCTCCAAGGGTACCCCAATCCCAGCTGCCCCTTACCCTACCCTACCTTTATAAAGAAAATAAAAAATACAATTTTTTAAAAAGCCGCCATTGCTGGCCCTTATTCAAATTAAGGTTTAATTCCAGAATGAAACCAGACAACCATTTCCAATCATATTAAAATTAATCTGATGCATAAATCTTTTCATTGTTGCAGTAATTCCAAACATCAGCTTGCCTAATTCTACAAGCTTTATTTCTATATTGCTCTTATGTTCCATAAGCACAAAGGTACTTCAGAGTTTGAAAACATCCAAAAATCTTACAGCTATGAAAAACTATCAGCACAAATATTTAAAAATATATGAAAAGTAAACTTAAGTTGCAGGCAGATTAAGTCAGAATTCAAACCCAGATACAGTAGAAATAAATTCTAAGTGTAAGAAAGAACAATGAGAATATTTCAGTTGCATTCTAAAGATGGAGGACCTTATAGCCTAAAAAGGCACATTGAAAAAGCATAGAATACAACTCTAAACTATGAAAGTTCTTAAGAATAAAATTATATTAAAAATATGACTTTCTTAACCTCTAAAGGCATTAAATATGCACACAGAAAAATTACTTTAAATGCTCACCCAGCCAAACCATTTTGAATCTATATAGGAAAATTCATGTTGATTGTGTTTCTGCCTTCTGCAAAAATGAAGCCTGCTGCAGCACTGTTACATGATTGTTGTTGATATCCAGTGTGTGTGATGTAGCATAAGGTTGCCTTGCTATGAAAAGTTGGATTTGTGTGTGTGTGTATTTCCTATATTTATAATTCTTTCAGGTGTTCATACCTTCCCCAGTCTGTAAACAGTCTCTTTTCCAGGGGCCTAGAAATCCAGGGGTTTAGAGAGCGAAGACAAAATTTTCAATATGAAATGTGATTGTTCCTGCAGTTTTTATAACACCAGGGCTATGTAACTTAAAATATGGCAAGCTGTCATTTTGATAACAACATCATTGTTTTGACTAAACTTTTTGCAGAACTTGGAGGCTTTGTAGCATAAAATTTGATGCACTAGGATACTGTAACACAAAGTTATTGTAACACTCAGGTCCTGGAACACCAGAATATTGTAGCTATTGGACCTGCAAACTCCACCTCTATATTTACATGTTTCAGCATAAACATATTAAACTGACAGGTTTGTTATGGTAGAGAGACCTTGCTTGGCTGGAGACTAGCTAATTGTTTTGCAATGATTATAGTAAACTATTGTTCAAGCCATATTTTTAAAATCACTTTCATTTTCAGGGCTACTTTTTCTATATTTTCCTTATTTTAACACTCTAATATGCAGACATTTTTACATTTTGTCAAAGCTTTACATTATTAGAAACCACTTGACAAGTTGAATTTCTAGATACTGTACGTTGAAAAAGCTACAGCTGTTTTTGTCCAAACAATTTATAAAATGAATTAGCTAGTTTCCAGTGATATTTGTATATATTTTTTCTTTCAGTAATACTCCAGAGATAAGTGCCTCTCATTTTGTTCAATTAGAAATAGTGCATGCCTCTTTTTGAATCTGTGTTATAGGCTTCCTGCTAGGGAAAACTTTGTAAGTTTTCAGGAAATTGATGGTTCCTTATTATCAACTATTTTTGGTGGCAGTTGTCAGTTGACAGTGTAGGAAATAGCTGGACTGTTTATTGGCAGACTTGCCTGGCTATATTTAAGCTGCAAGCAAAATCACAGTATTCAAAAATTGATTAAAAAAATCAAAATGACTTATTTTACTTAGTCAAACACATCAGAAAAAACAAGTGTGGTCACCTTTGCCAATAAGATAAATAAATAGATGGGAGGGTGCTTTCCAGGACAAGTGCAGGATTATTAGATGAAGAAAATGAGTGTTTTATTCCTCTGTCTAATACTGTTGACAGTTTTTACATTCTTAAGCAAATGCATATACCATTTATAATCAGTTACACTTGGACATGTTTAATACTGTAAGGTAAAGTGTTAGCGATTCTAAAAATGGAAATCGATAATAAATGTAATAAATATCCATGTTCTGTATAAAATGTAGTGGCTGGATTATGAAGTTGTATTCTTTTTGTATTAGTAATAGATTTTTTTAAAAATTGACCCTGTGCTCCCTGAAAATCTGCTTTGGAGGGTAGGGGAACCAACTGGAACATAACATTGTGGGGATTTTTAGGAAGAAGAAAATCAGTGACAGGAAATTAGAGAAAAATCCTCTAGTCCCTTCTGAAATTTGCTCCTTGTGTGAAAAGAAGAAAAAGTTATTTGACTGTTTTTGAGCTTATTTTTCACTAGAACAGGAAACAGTATTCAGTTAGTATAAGGAAGTCACCAATTTTATAGGGTCATACATTGGAAGTGACATGACAATACATATCAACAGTAACTTAAGGGATGAGAAGAAAGAATATAAATTAAAAAATATGATGCTGCTAATTTATTTAGTGTATTGCAGAACTAGAAAAAGAATGATGTATAAGTCCATGATGTTTCCATCTCTCGGATAAAGTTTTAAAAAAAGCATTTAAAGATACTACATCTGGACATACACAGTACCACTTATATATAAAAATCATTTGTGTACAATAGCAGACGAGGTGCACATCTGTACATTCCTCAGGAGTTTTGTGTATACTTTCATCTTTATTACAGTATTCAGTTTCCTAATGTTCTAGCACTTAACAATAAATCCAGCTGCATCTGCTCAAAGTGTGTGTGGGCAGAACTGCAGGTGTGGGAATAGCTTTCTGAATGATTTGAGAGATGAGCATGCTTTTAATTATACAGAATTCTAGTGTTTGGTTTACTCTTACCTGTAGGATAATAGACACATAGATTATTTTACATTGTATAGAAATCTGCCACAAACAAGTATGTCTGTTTTACAGAACTGCCTGAGTATTTAATGCTGATTAAAAAGATGCATTAGTATAAACACAAGAAGATTGGATGTAACTGGTATTTTTCTTAAACCTAATTCTTTATTAATCCTTTCTCTCTACAGAACTGTGAACAGACTGACTCAGCTGGAGAGACTGGACCTGGGAAGTAATGAATTCACAGAAGTGGTGAGTGCTAGCTAAATAGCACAGCTTTCCTAAAACCTCTTATCCTTAAATCTATTTTTAATCAATGTCAAATATAAAAATCAGCTTAACTGCTATCTTACAGAGCAACTGTTGCCTGTATCGCAATGCTTTAAGGAATCTATTTTTAAAGCTGACTGCTTGATTCATATTTCATTTCCTATTGGTGTGGCATTTGTGTGACACACCGGAAATATTTCCATATACAGTGGTGCCTCGCATAGCAATGTTAATCCGTGCAGCAAAAATCGCTGCAAAGCGATTTCGTCACTATGCAATTTTAAAAAGCCCATAGAAATGCATTAAAATCTGTTTAATGCGTTCCTATGGGCTAAAAACTCACCTTTAAGTGAAGATCCTCCATACGGTGGCCATTTTCGCTGCCCGGTAAGCGAGGAATCCGTCCCTAAACACAGCAGGCAGCCATTTTTTTACCCATCGGCCATTTTGGAACCGCCGATCAGCTGTTGGAAAATCATCGCTATGCGATAATTGGTAAGCGAAACAGCGAACTGATCATTGCAAAGCGATTTTTCCCCATAGGGAACATCGCAATGTGATCGCTTTTGCGATCGCAAAATCTTAATCGCTATGTGGTTTCGTTGTTAAACGGGGCACCCGTTAAGCGAGGCACCTGTCAAGTCAATTCTACAGACAAGCAATATTCTTAATTTACTCCCTATCAGTTTATATCACATGCACAATTACATAAATACTTGGGGTCATGCAAATATGACTGCACTGTTTTTGCCTACATACATATATAGATGGAACTTATCCTTCTGTTTTCTCAGTCTCTATAAATAAATCAACATCATAGTTGAAATGAAGTATTTTGAGCCTGTAGAAAAATTTGTGAAGCAGAGCAACCCCAACTCAAAGATACATCAGCTGTTGTGGTTTTGGAGTGGGCAGAAGTGTCCTATGCTAGCACAAGTGCTCTTTTGCTGGTTCATTTCAGATCTGCTGGCAAAACTGGATCTGCTGACACACCTGCTGTGCTGGTGGAGATTGGCCAACAGAAGAGCCAAAAAAAAAAAATTCAGAGAAGGGGGTGAGCTGAGTTGAGACCAGATCTAGACCCCTTTCAGTCCAGAAGAAGATTGACTGCTGAATCTTTGGATTCAGCACAGCTTCAATTGGCTTAGTATTATCAGCTGAGCCTACCCTCAGCCATCTTGGCTAGTTGATTGTGCTTCTTGGTAGGTAGTTAAGTAGATACATGTTTAATAGATGGATATATAAAATAAAATAAATTAGGAGAATCATATTGCAATTTTTGTTAGTAAATTTATTTAAATCTAACCATTTACTGTGATGCTTTTTTGTTTTTAACAGCCTGAAGTACTTGAACAATTAAGTGGGTTGAAAGAATTTTGGATGGATGGTAACAGACTAACTCTTATTCCAGGAGTATGTATATTTAATTCTTTAATAATGATAACTGTGCTGTCAAGTCAATTCTAACTTATGGCAAGTCTTTTCAGGTTTTTCTAGTTAGAATCTGGAAATACTTTACCATTCCCTTCTTATGGAGAGATTCTGAGATTGTGTAGCTTGCCCAAGGCCATATAAGTTACCTCTTCTTGGATGCACGGTGGGATGTTGAATTCCCAGTCTCTGGCTCCACAGCCAGATCCCTAACTCAGTGGTCCCCAACCTTGGGCCTCCAGATGTTCTTGGACTATGACTCCCAGAAGCCTTCACCACTACCTCTGCTGGCCAGGATTTCTGGGAGTTGAAGTCCAAGAACATCTGGAGGCCCAAGATTGGGGATCACTGCCCTAACTAACTCATTTTGTTATTCAGCCAACCAATTAGTTACATTGTATTGTATTTCATTTGATTAGAACAAAGCTAGGCAATAGAGAAGCCGTTTGTATCAGAAGGGATTCTTCCTGCAGTGTCCTCTATGTTCCCTGAAAATATGATTTAGACGGCTGTGAACCCTCCCAGAATGGTTTTTTGGTGCTTCTGTAAGAAGTAGGAGGGAGAAGAGAAGGAAAGTCCCAACACAAGTGTTAGCATAGTGTTAGATTTAACCTATTATGGACATTGGGAAAAATGTAATTAAGCATGGTGATATTGCTGTGTCTATCCTTTTTGTAGAGGGTTCATTCCTGTAAGGATAGTTCCGGTATACTGCCTGAATTTTAAAGTACTGTTAAGTCTTTAAAGTAAAGGCTGAAATATCCATAGTGAGGCAGTTTCCAGGTTTGGATTTTGACAGACAGTGATCAAAAGGCACATGCAAGTTTATTTCTGGAAAAAGACAAAGCAGATGCTGCACGCTTATGTGTCACAGCTGATAGAGAAGGAGAATGTATCAAAATTTTATTAATTGGATAAAATATGTTTTCTTTAATACATCTTTTTATTTTGTTCTTGTGCATATACTTTCAGTTTATGGGCAGTTTGAAGCACTTGACCTACTTGGATGTTTCCAAAAACAACATTGAAACTATTGAAGAAGGCATTTCAGGATGTGAAAGTTTACAAGACTTGCTGTTATCTAGTAACTCACTTCAGCAGTTGCCAGAGTCTATTGGTTTGTATTGTATGATTTTAACTATAAATAATTCACAAAGACATAATAACTTTCTGTAATCTTCTAGCCTTATATAAACGAAATTAAGAACATCTTTTAAATTAGAAATTCACTCACCCAAGCAAAGAAAGTGTTTAGCTTGCATTTTTTTAAAATGTAACCATATGTTAATTTGATCTCAGAAGCCTCTTGGTGTTTTGGATTAATGACAAGATATTTTAAAAAAGAAAAGATTGTGCAATTTATTTAGGCAGTCCAGACTGTGCCTGGGCATAACACCTGGGAGGCTTATAATGGTGTAACTTTACATTGCATGAAGATTAACGGAATTTCAGCTTTGGGTATCTGCAGTGCGTTTTAAAATCATTCTTGGCTGTCACCAATGATGGTGACAGCAACCATGAAATTAAACGACACCTGCTTCTTGGGAGGAAAGCGATGACAAACCTTAAAAAGCATAGACATCACCTTGCCGACAAAAGTCTGCATAGTGAAAACTATGGTTTTTCCAGTAGAGATGTATGGAAGTGAGAGCTTGACCACCGAAGAATTGATGCTGTAACTTTACGTTGCATGAAGATTAACAGAATTTCAGCGTTGGGTATCTGCAGTGCGTTTTAAAATGATTCTTGGCTGTCACCAATGATGGTGACAGCAACCATGAAATTAAATGACACCTGCTTCTTGGGAGGAAAGCGATGACAAACCTTAAAAAGCATAGACATCACCTTGCCGACAAAAGTCTGCATAGTGAAAACTATGGTTTTTCCAGTAGAGATGTATGGAAGTGAGAGCTTGACCACCAAAGAATTGATGCTTTTGAATTGTGGTGCTGGAGTGAGACTCCAGTCTCCCCTGGACTGCAGGGAGAACAAGCCTATCCATTTTGAAGGAAATCAACCCTGAGTGCTCACTGGAAGGATAGATCCTGAAGCTGAGGCTCCAATACTTTTGCCATCTCATGAGAAGAGAAGACTCCCTGAAAAGGATTCTGATGTTGGGAAAGTGTGAAGGCAAAAGGAGAAGGGGACGACAGAGGATGAGATGGTTGGACAGTGTCATCAAAGTGACCAACATGACTTTGACCAAACTCTGGGAGGCAGTGGAAGACAGGAGGGCCTGGTGTGCTCTGGGGTCACGAAGAGTTGGACACAACAAACAACAAAAGAGTGCAGTTATGCAAATGTGTTATATCTTGTTCATGTCTGCCTTTGTACTCAGTGGTTAAATCTTATGGGAATTTTATCTAGAATAGAAATATTTAAATCAAATGTAATTGTGTCTGTCATGTCCCATTCACTCCAGAGAATCTACTCTATGTAGAATTAATACAGTGGTGCCTCGCTTAGCGATTGCCTCGTTTAATGATGTATCCACTTAGTGATGGGTTTTTTTGAGCGATTTTACGCTCCGTTTAGCGATGTTTCCTGTGGGGAAATTTCGCATAGCGATGTTCGGGACCTTGCATCG